CCTCTGTGTGTGTGTGTCTGTTACTTACATGGTTTAAGGTTAGGTATTAGGGTTAGGTGTTAGGCAAGTGGTAGTTATGGTTAAGGTTAGGATAAGTCTACAGGAATCAAATGTAAGTCTCTTTAAAGTTCCCACAGGGAATGAAAACACAGCCTGTGTGTGTTGGATTGTGAGCGTGAAGGGCAAGTGATCTGTGTGTACATGTAAATGTTGCCATAGTGTCGAGTTACCTGACGGTTGTTAGACTGACAAGACCAAAGTCACGTCATCCACCCAAACACTATCAGACCTGTGTTAACTGTTACACGTGGTCACTTCACAACCTCCCCACAAACTCCCATTACTGTAATATGCAAAGGTTTGGGCACCCCTGGTTAAATTACATATTTTAAGTTTAAAACAAGAAAATACACATTTAGGTTAGAACAAGAAAATATAAAACTGACAGCAAATGAAATTAATAAGCCTTTCATTTAATGCTACTGCACTGCTGCATTTTATTTTGTGAACCAACAAAAAAGAAGAAAAAATTATTGCATATGCTAAAGTTTGGGTACCCTGCCTACACCATCACCGCTGGTGTGTGAGTGTGTGTGCATGAATAGGTGAGTGGGTGAATCTGTAAAGCGCTTTGTCCTGGAAAAGATAGAAAAGCGCTATACAAGTGCAGTCCATTTACAGTAGTACAGTACCTACAGTTTTAACAACATCTTCTTTACAATAATTATGCTGGTCTGTTCAGGGCTTCAAACACCAGATTGTGTCATATATACTTTGCACAAACTGATTGATGATATCTAAACCAGACAGCGGTGACTCTAGATTAATATTCTCCACCTACTACACATTGCTGTCTAGACCAAATTACAATAAAACTGAGTCTTTGGTAAAGTAATTTCTGCCCCAGATGAGGTGAACAAATGAATGAATCTACAGGGATCAGCCCAACCTCTCTGTGTGGGCGATCGCTTCACACCGTTGATCCTTTCTGATCCGATTCCAGGCAGGAAACAGAGCTGGTGTTGTGTACCGGCCTCTGATGTGTAATTAGCAGCTGAGTCATTAGCAGAGTAATGCTTAGGCTGTCGTCAGTTGCGCCACAGTTTGACTGTAACATGTAGGAAATTTTTTTTTTTTTTTTTTTTTTGAAGGCAGAGCTGTGCAGAAGGAGGCAGGTAGTCGAGTCAGGGCAGGCAGGAACTGGGAGGAAGTGTTGGGTGGTTTGTGTGGTGAGACTGTGTGGGTCTGTTTATAATTAGGGTAATGTTGTTTGTACAGATTATTTTTCAAATCCCCACTCTTACTTGTGTTTTTGTCTCCTCAGTTCATGGATCGTCCCTGTCCCTGGTCTCCAGCACTTCTTCCATTTATTCCACGGTGAGTTATCACAACTTCAGAGTTAACCAGGCCTGAATTATGTGTATTAATTTTGAATACTTGTGTGTGTGTGATACCTTCAATACTGATACACTATAAAAATGTATTTTTTAATTGATGTATTATGTTTTTGTGTTGCTATTGTGTAGCTTGTTCGCTGCAGCAAGCAAATGTATTTTGAACTGTAAAATAGTCCCAAAAAGTTGTTACTAGCCAAATTTAAGGGATCCAAAGTATCTGCCATGGCCCAGTGATTAGGGGACATACTATATAACTGCAAGGTGCCCGGTTCGTTTTCATCAGGGTCCTTTGTTTTTAAATAATAGACGACCATCCACATTAAGATCAGCTCTGTTATTCGACCCTGAGAGACATAAACATATCTCAGTGTGATGACTGTTGGGAAAACAACACTAGAATCAGAAAATATTCTTCAGTTCATATAGCTCCACGTTTCATGTAGAAACTTGAAAAGGCAAATTTTCCTTCAGCCTATGGAATTGTGAATTACTGAGTATCTGAAATGGCTAGTGCACTGTTGCACATTTACCCTCTAATCCATCCAGATATATGAGGAAAAAGGTCTGGTTTTAGTTACACAGACAAACCTGGGATAGCCCTCATGCAACACTGTAGCCAATCACAGCGTAGTCTTTCACGGTGTAGCTGCTCCTCCCTCTATGGGCTGGTTTACTCACCTGCCCAGGTGGAGCAGAAAAACTCTTAGACACTGGATATTACTGCTCAGTACCAGCACGTCCTTCGAGCTAGAGTCACAGGTTTGAACCTACAGGGGAGAAAAGAGAGGGAAAATGATGGCGGCTTTATCCCTCACAGGCCCCGTCACATCCTGGAAACAAACGGTAGGGATGAGGAAGAGGACTATAGCATGTAGTCATTCTGCTTTTGTACTGTGTTGGGGTTAAATACTGTTGTAAGTCAAATGTATTGTTACACAGAACAAATATTTGCATATTTTTCCTCTATCTTATTTTATTTATCAGTAAATTATGTGAAAAAGTCGACATATTTAACACCCTTAGATGTGCCGCCACATACCTAATATTTTAGGACCTAATCTAATGTTTTGAAATCCCACATCAACACCATGAAAAGCAAATATTTTTCTACCCGTTTGTCATTTTTCTCAATTTTTTCACCTAACATTCTTTTCTTTATTTACTGCACTGATGCTGATCACTGATTGTTTTCATTACTGACGTGCTGCTCCAGGATTGTGCATCAGAACGAGATATCTGTTTTGTCTCCAAGAGTGACATGCAGCTATGTGTGTATCTAGGATCAGCTCGTCACGTACATGTGACTGACAGCTCCATTTGGGTGTGTAAAGTGTGTGTGGCCCAATACCATGTAAATAATCCACTCGTGCCTCAGATCACATGCACAGACACATTAGGCTGTTGAAACCTGTTTAGTGCTTAGTGGCTTGTAGGTGAAACCACATGGAAAATTATTAATGTTCTGCTTTGTTGCTTCTGTTTAAGCACACCAGCTGTGTTCAGGCTCTCCACAGGCCTGAAGGATTGTGGCTTTTTAAAGCAAAAGAAATTGAAGAAAAAACCCAGAGAGCACTAACTTCCACCGCAGCTGCAGAGTGCTGTGAAGTTATAAAAAAAAAACAGGGAATGTGACAAATTCAGGAGTGAAAATGTTTAAATTATACCTCAGTGTTAAAGAAATCCTCAGAAGCATCTGTTTTCTTCTCTGTGCTATGGCCTAACATTCCTCCAAGTTTGACTAAAATCCTTGTACATTTTTTTTTAGATGTTCTGCCAATAAATCAGGACCCAGAACAACCTCACCAGAGCTATCCATTTTCACACTATTTTGAAATTGAAACCTGTGAAATCATTGCTGTGTCTTTGATGGTACCACTGGATGGTGCCAAAGTTTTATTCACATTAATGGTTTTAAGCTGACACCAATCTTTAGCTACAAATGAGTCCGTACACTTCACTGTCAACTCCAGGTGTGTTAAGATGAATATTTCCAGATGCTGTCTCAATGCCTGGTGGAACCTGTTTACATGTAAATGTGGGTGTTGAATGTTTCACTGTTTTGATGAACAGCAGGGTGTGTTGTGTTCGTGTGAGCATTTGTTTTGAGTGTTCTCACTGTGTATGTGTTCTTACTGTTACTATGTGTGCAGCTCATGAAAACAATGAGACTCAGACACTGACAAATATCTCAGTGAAATGCCTTCAGGAGGAGATCTCTGCTTTCTAGACATATTACACCTAACAATCTCCTCCACAGTTTATAAAGCTTGTCTCCATGGAGCTAATAACTCAAACAGGAGTCAGGATATATGCAGTCCAACCTCTGACTTTCTCTTCTTCTGATGTTTGTTTTTACAGAATGAGGAGAAGTGTCAGTCGGAGGTAAGCCGCAGCCCACCCACAGCATTTCTGTCCTCTTTATTTATCTGTTTGCAGTGGCTGGACTTGCTGGTACATGGGGGCATTTTCACAGTTGTATCTAGTTACATGTGTAAGTGTATTGTGATGGACCCTATAACATGCTCTCGTTCCCCTCCACACACCTGTGTACACCTGAATGTGCTCTTTTATGCATCTGCTGTTTCATCTCCCAACCTGAACATATCAGGGCTCAAATCTGGGAGCCTCCCTCATTTGTTGCTACAGTTTTTTTGTGTGTGTGTCTAGACACTTGTGTGTTTGACATTGAATGCTTTTGTCTTGGGGTATTTTGATGTCATGCTCTTTTTATGTCCTCAGATCCGCAAGCTGCGCCGGGAGCTGGATGCCTCCCAGGAAAAAGTTTCCGCCCTGACGACACAGCTGAGCGCCAACGTAAGTGAACCCGGACGCACATCCCTTAAAAAATGTTTTTGAACGTGTGTACTGTCTGCATCCAATGTTTAAGAATTGAATCATTTATATGGTCATAATAAACTCATTTTATAGTCTTTATCAATAATGTCTGTGCAAATCTGTCCAAAAATAAGATTTAAAACAATGTCATATCAGTCTAGTATTGAGGTAATAATATGTTTGACCACTGGAATTGCAGAAATGAGAAATGGCTGTTTTTAAATCCAAAGTTTTTACATTAGGCAGTGTGTCGTTTTTGTTAGTTTTTCAAAGTTAACTCCAGTATGAGGCATGTCGGAGATAAATTCCTATCAATTTGTGACAGACAGTTTTCAGGATCTAAAGATGGAAGGTGCTTTTTATAGAAATTTAAGTGTGGAATAAAAATAAGTTGGAAAAAAAAAACATTAACAAATTGATTTACTGGAGGTGCACATTCAAACTAATATAATTGCTGCTGGAAGTGAAAATTAAACTAATGTAATTACTGTCACAGTCTAAAATACATGTAATGAATCCTCAAATACAAGCTGTGACTCCCAGCATCCAAACATTTTCCAAACACACGTAAGAACACTTTGTTCAGTTTTTGATGACTGTCACAGATGGTTCCCACACAGCATTTCTCACACAGAGGGTATAATTTTACATCTGTCAGAAACATCATAAAATCTCTTGAACATCTCCAGACACAGTCCTTTCAGCCAGCCTGTCTTCTGTGCACAAGTCTCACCACGCCCTGCTTTTTAATCCGCTTCCAGAGTCGGTGCACGCTGGTAGTTTAACTGTGGTGTTAGATATGGAAGGAAGGTAAGGGTGTTGGATTACAGCAGGGAGTCAAGTTATCAGCACACTGCTAAGGTACTGTCCCAGATGTGGACTTTAGATTCACAGCTAGCAACGCCTGGATACAAGCTGATAGTGGCGGGTCATGAGGTGGGATCTAGGCTCTGACTGAGGGGCTTTTTTTTCCCCCACATATTTGATTACACATCACACACAGATGATCAATTATCTGAACACAGCTTGAAGCCCCAAAGGCCAAAAATGTATTCATTTACAGTTTAATCCTTCCGTTTCTTTTGATGTGTCTACATCTACATGTTCTAAAATCAATTTGTTTGCACCCACTTGCCTATTGTGAAGGTCTTCAGTCCCTCACATTTTTAAAGTAGCTCTCTCCATATTAATCCAGTCACTAGCAGCCCAGTTAGCTCTGTGCATTTTCTACCCACAGCTGTATTATCAGGGACCAAGCCGCCAGTTTGACTCCTCTTCCATGGTGTTCAGAAGCCGCTGACCTGCACCAAGCAGCACAGGGCTCTGGCTCCCCTTATAAACCTCTTATGTGCTAGTTTGAACTTCTGACATATGGAACTTCTTATGCATGTTGGATGCATGTGTTGTTAACAAATCAAACCTTGAAGATGAAGTGGCCAACAAACATCTAATGAGCCTGTGGCCTGGTTTAACTGCTGATGGGGGTTTGAGCTCTACGGTCCTCTGTGGTTTACATTTGACTTCATCGGCTTATTTTTTGTGACATGACAAAATGTTTTGTTGTAGTACGTGTTGTAACTGGGACTGCTGTACACAGACCAAGCTGTTCATTTGTTAACTTGTTTTTTTTTTTTTTGCAGGCTCACCTGGTGGCAGCTTTTGAACAGAGTCTGGGAAACATGACCATTAGACTCAAGAGTCTCACTATGACGGCAGAGCAAAAGGTACAGACTGTGCTGTACGCTAACCATAGTACTCATTCAGACTCACTACAGCTGATATTTGATGGTCTGTGTTGTTGGTTCTGTGTAGGACTCGGAGCTGAACGAGTTGAGGAAAACCATCGAGCTGCTGAAGAAGCAGAACGCTGTGGCTCAGGCTGCCATCAATGGAGTTATCAACACACCTGAACTCACACCTAAAGGGGACAGGACAGGTATGGGAAAACACTACACAAGTCGGGGGTGTTTGAAGGCCAAAGTTTTTCCACCTCTCCAACTATTCTTCTCACACACTGTTGATAACTGGACCTGAACATTTCAAACTTTTGTAACCCACCTATACGGTAAGGGCCCTGAGTTCAATTAACCCACAGTAAATACAATTGATAAATCACAAATCTCCACTAAACCTCTAATTTATATGCCATTAAATCCCACAAGTACTATATATAATAACCACACAAGTATGAAAGTTAACATTTCCTCATTTACTTAACATAAAATCAGGTTAAACTATAATCAATAACAAACTCTCTTGCAAATATATTTAACTTTTTCTCTTTTAACACACTTTCAACGTTTCAAAATAAAACACCAATAAAGTGGGCCCACACACACAAACTCACTCAACACCAGCCGGCATATACAGTATACATTCTGCAAATTAACCCCCGTCGCAGGCCTGATGGATGCTCGGGTGCGGTGAGGCCAAAAACGTAGTAGCCGTTTCACTCCAAAGAGCTAAACAAATAAACGGTACCTTATGCAGTTGCTCGGGGTCCAGAGGCTGAAACTTTACTTCCTCTGTGTGTCCAACCAAAGACAAAGGGTGTCAGAAAGGGCGCGCATGGTTGGACATATATCTTAAAGCATTGCGCATTTTGTATTCTTCATTGATTTTGCCATATTTGGAGTATGGCGTTGAAAACTGGGGAAACACTTACAGGAGTTCACTTCAGCCATTGTACATATTACAGAAGAGAGCGATAAGAGTTGTGCACAAGATGGGGTATAGGGATCACACAAATGTAGTTTTCATACAGTCTAAATTGTT